AATATGCAAAACTGATCGATCGAATAATACTAAAAATAAAAATCGAATTGAACCGAATAAGTCAACCAAACCGAAATTTGATAATTCGATTCGGTCGGTTAATTCAATTTTTCTATTTCATATTTAGCTATTAAAATTGGGCTCATTTTTTAAATATTAAAACAAACAACACTATAAAATTGGGCCTTTTTTTCTATTCATTTTTTTAATATAAGCCAATTCTAATTACACTCATATGACATAAAGTCCAAATATTATAAAGGCATGGATAATCAAATAAACAACCACAAATAAACACCGATGATCAAATAATAACTCCATAATCCAGTCACAACACCTACTAATAAAAATGACTGATTGAAATGGGGTTTCAAGTGATGTTATTATTTTTTATTCTTTATTAAAATAAAAAATAAAAATAAAATAATTTATGAATTAAATATAATTTATAAATTAATAAATTATATGTAATTCGGTCGGTTCGGTCTATTCAATTTTAAATTTTATTAATCGAATCGAATCGATCAACCAAAATATTTAAAATAAAAAAATCAAATCAAATTTCAATTTAATTTTTAATTTTGATTTGATTTTACTCTCCCTTACTTCTTGCTCTACCTTGGTCTACATACTCGGCACTATGCTCTCCCCTAGCACATACAATAGCCTCTAATGCTTACTGCTTTGCTTTCGCTTCCATAAAGCATCATTACTTCCCTCCAGCATCGTAACTAGCACCATATTCCACCACCTTTTTTTTTCCTTCCGGAGCCTGTTGTAAAGGAATTTCTCATTCCTAACACTTGCATTGTATGAATAGTAATTAAAGTTGACAATGAACATCGAGCTTGAAGGATTAAACTTAAAAACTCTATTTAAATAAAGGGTTAGACTTTAAAAATTAATTTTTTTTAAAATAATTAAACTTGAGAGCATGGCTTGATAACTCTTGTAAAAAAAAATTTGGGCTCAGACAACTCTTCAACCCCTATTATATTATTATTAATTTTTTTTTATGAAACACGTGTTTAAAACCAAAAAAAACCTGCTCGTCTGAAACCTTAATTCCAGACACATTATATTATTATTAATTTTAATTTATTTTAAAATTGATTTAATATAATTTAATAATATTAGCGTACAGTATAAAATCTTTAATATTTTTTATTTTTTCATAATTATTATGTTTGTGTAGCTATAAAAAATAAACTTTTTTAAACTAAGATTTAAATTTTCTTACTAAACTTCTAAATGTGTGTTGTTTAATTTTTAAAAAATTATGAGGATTTTTATTTTTTTAAAATTTTAAAATATTACAATTAATTTATAGTGCTTAATTTTATTTTAATTTTTTTATTTTTTTAAAACAGAACTTACAAACTCGATCCTGAATCCTTTAAATAAAAGTTGAGTTTTAAAAAAAATAAAAAATAAAAAATCAAACTTAAAAGCTCAGATCTTTAAAGGTCGGCCTCGTTTATTTTTTTTTTTAGCTCTAATAGCAACTATATACTTGCCTATACTCTGTATCGATTCTATAAGCACAATCAAAACAAAGAGGTGGATACGCCATCCCCCCCCCCCCCCAACACACATGCACAGAGAGATGAAACAAGACCTACTACAGGGCTTGGTTTCCAAGTGGGAGAAATGAAATAGACACAAAGTCAAACGCAAAAGGGGAAGATGGAAGCACTTGGTATGGATAAGGTTGGAACAAATTTTGGCAGGGAAGTGAGTGATACAAACATTATGAGACACCCTCTTCTTCCACTCCCAAACGAATTAGCTCGAAGTGACGAGAACAAGGAAAGAGCAGCGAGAGAGTAGCGAGATATGGGAAGAGACAGAGAGAGTCAGAAGCATGTGTAAGCTAAGCAGAGAGAGAGCCTCACCATGCATGACACAAACGAATATTAATTCCTTGTTAATTGTGGGGTGAAATTGTCTCATATTTAATTGTTTAATATTCAAATTCAAAATATATTAAATATGAATTTAAGGTTTAAATTTTTCTTAGATCTATAGTTTATAGTACAAATTGCATAATAATCCCTTTTTATTTTCAACTGTTATTTCTCTCAAAATTTCATAGTTAAAACGTACAAACTAAAAAACTATTAACAAAAACACGCTAAACTTCTTTTGCCAAAAAATAGAAAATCTAATTTATTTAATGCTGACAATCTGACATGCATATTTACTCTTTTGTGGCATGTGAGCCCTTCTTTGTATACTAAGTTGTAATAATTTTTTTTTAAAAAAAAAAAACCTGAAGGATCTGACTTTTAGCGCCTACACTATGGCAATTTGGCTGACCAATAAAATAATTCAGTTTAGCAGAGTATCAATTGGCACCCAAAAGAAAACAAAACTCGGGATGAGTTGTCATGAAGTCAGCGGAATACTAATTTCTTTAAAATTTTAATTGTTCAATTCCATTAATGGGTTGTTGATTACTTGATTATGCAGAATTAGTATCTTTCAAAGGGGTGAGAAAATTGAAAAAGTAAAGTATTAAGCTCGTTTGGTAGAATGGAATCGGGAGTGACGAAGTGAAAGTGAAATTTTAAAAATATAATGTTTGGTGCACGGGAACTCGTTTCTCTGAGGAAGTCACTTCCATAGTAAATGAAATTCGGTTCCTCTCCCATACACATGGAATCGAGTTCCTCCTGCACTTCGTTCATCCTCTGTCATCTCTGCCCTTAAAGTTTCTCCCGTCACTCCAACCCAGAAGCGATCGTGCTTCAAGCTCCTTCAAACCCCGAGCGCCTCTGCCATCAAAGTTGCCGATGACAGACCACGACGGAGGCTATACCAACACCTCTGCCATCAAAAATGCGGCTGATCGACCTTCTGAATCTCCAACGCCTGCTTCAAGCGCCAGCAAATCCCTAGCGTCACGACTCCCTATAGTCATCGACAATGTCCAGGCTGTCAAAGTTGTCTTCCTTCAGGCGCGATTTGATTTGGGTTCCGATGGGTTGCTTCTCTGCTGTTCGTCTCCAGCCATAGCTTGATTTGCTCCGATATTAATTTGCCTCAAGAATGAAAGTAGTCTTATTTCAACTCACAAGTTGACTAACGCTTGATTTGCCTCAAATTATGCTTTCACTTGGTGCTTCAATAATTTCTAGAGATAATTTTCAATTATTGTTGAGCTATTAATAGATTATTTTTTGGAATGGATGTGGTTAATTAGACGTGGAAGGTTGCTGGTACTACCGTACTAGGTGCTTGAATTTTATTTTTTTAAAAATTTACATACCAACCATACTTTAAATTTCATTTCTACTTTTATTTTAACCTTTACTTTTACTTCAATTTTTATTTTCACTTCTATCAAAATTATTTTTTCATACCAAACGTGGCATAAGAGAAGGATCAATTTTGGCCATAAAGGGTCATCTGATTCTCTCCTGAGTAATTATTACCATTAACCAAGAATTAGATTTTGTATCTCCCATATTATTAATTTATTATATTCAAAATTAGTTAAGTACTATATATATTATCGTATTTGATATAGGAATAACTTGTGCAGATTCACTACCAAAAAAAAAAACTTGAGATGATTCTACTTTATTATTTTTTTTAAAAAAAGCATCATGACTAGCTTCAAGAGACATTTACCTTAACAAATTTAATAGACACAGTAAAATATGGGGGGTAATCTTAGGATAATGTTAATTAATAAATAATTATTTTTTAAAACATCAAATCACTCCCCAAAAAAATGTTACAAAATGGGGTGCAGGGAGTATATGTCAATATTAATAACTTGTGCATATTCATTACCAAGAAAACAGGATTCTAGTTTATTGTTGTTAAAAAAAAAAAAATCGTGACTAGCTTCAAGAGACGGTGATGTAGATCCAGTGAATCTTGGTATAAACTATTGTCAAATATCAATACATTATCACTCCCTGTCGTCTCATAAGTTCAGGCAAAGGATCACACATAGAGTTCACTGTTTTTTAAAATGGTAATTTTATTTTATTGAACTTGTAGAAAGTTTTGTAACAACTTGTAAAAAGAATGAATAACTAGATATGCGAATTGTAATAAATAAAAAATAATAAATCAGTCCTATAATTTGATTTTTAATCAAATCCCTATACTATTAAGTCAGATAATTCGTTTCGTAAAATTATATTTACTAGCACAGCGAGTTGTCATAATTTGAAAATCTAAGAACTCAGTCCTAACTCAGTAGACGTTAGGGGGTAAATTAGGTTACATTAAAACGCCAAAGCTTAATCGAAAGAACTCAGAATTCATCGCCAAAATCACCATCACGTTCACGTGCTTCAGCATCAGATCCAGCCACGGCGCAGTGGCGGCAACGGCTCTGCGGGTTCTGCAAACGACAGCTCCATTTAAATATCCTTCTAACCCCAACACCCCAAAAAATTTGTATATTATTTGTAAAATGAAATGGAGTGAGATGAGACAGAACAAGATGAAAAAGCACATTCCATATTTTGGAAATTTTATGGGAAGAATGAATTATTTTATTTAATCATTATTTAAGAATTATTATAAAATTAACATATTTAAAAATTAGTTATAATCTTGCTTTTTTTCAATTTTAGAATGAGATAAAGTGAAAGAGCAAGAGGAAGTGAAAAGAATGAGATAATTCTGTAATAAAATTATGTACATCAAAACATTATGTCAATTTCAGAACAGCGAGCTATTTCAAACTATTTTTCTTCCTTTTAAAAAATTATCTCAAACAGTAAATACAAAACTTGTAACTATCTCATTCTATTTTATTCCATCCAAAAAAATGCCTCCCAAAAATTTCGGTCACCATGGAGCATGCAACTGTGATGATCAAACCAAGACATGCAAGATTATTTAGCAAAAAATTAGACCCAGCATTTGCACCTTAGTCAAGAACAAAGCATGGTTGTGAAATCTGCTGATGCGATGGGCGGACATCAAAGACAGACTCGAGCTAATCAATATCAGAAGAACAAATAACACAACAGAAAATGAAAGAAGTTCCTTAATCTACTAAAGATATGCAGACTAAATAAATAACAGCCTGAAAAAGATATCATAAACTATATTCACTGAAAAACGGACAGCCTGCTTCTAGATTGATCACAGGCGATGACATGCCAAAAGCCTGCATTCACATTGTGACCCGACCTGAATTTACATAGAAGCTGAACCATGACAAATTCTCAAATAAAGTCAACGGCTGGCTTTAATAAACAATACAAATAAATACACAAGCAGCTTGTGCCCGTTTATCAAAATTCCCTGAAAAAAGCTGTCTCTTGGGTTGAGGAAGAGGGAAGGGGCAGGATATTTTTCCCTAGAAAGTCATTTCGAGCAACGGAGGTTACTTTAACCTCACATTATAACCATATCTCTGACTCAAGGATCTTCCATATTAACGCCCATGTAGGTATCATAACTCCGAGACACGTAATCATCATCGAGATCCTCCATAGTTTTACCAAAAATAAATGCCTTCGTCCCCATTGTTGTGAAGGGCATCAACCCAAAAGCTCGTGCAGTTTTAATCTCCCTGGCGATCTTCCTTTGAGCCTTCGCACTTATGCCAGTCTGCTCAATTTAAAAGAAAAAAAGCAGTCAGCGTGATCTCAACCTTTAGCATAAGTTCATCACATTGATTTTCTGCTTAGACACTGATCGGTAGGATGGGCAAAGGACAGGAGAAGAAGGGTTTGATGAGAATGATGCTGATCAATGATTTAAAAATCCGATCCCTACAACCACAGACGGCCTCCTGCCAAGCAGTGCTCTAAATTTTACCTGGCTCCTCTTGATAATGATTCCAGCTGGTGTTATGAAGTTTGCAAGGAATCTTACGTTCTGCACAAAACATTGACAGTAAGCACCAACCCAGAAATAGCTTAAGCAGGACAATTTTGTTCATGATAGAAAACAAATGCAAATCACAGCTTCACTTGAGACTGAAACAGGTGTAAATCAACCTTGACCAGAACAGTCAAAACCTAAATTGAAAGAAGTTTGGATGACAGGGTCCAAAAATGTCTCAATAACATTCCAGAAGTTTACCTCACCAGTCTCCTCTATCTGCCCTTACATAAGACACTAACAGAATTTCCTTATAAGCGAATGATGACTTGAAAAAAAGAATACGTGGACGACTCACTAAGGAATTACAATACAAAGCACATTTATTAGAGTGAATTTAACGAACCAAAGTAACAGAAAGGACAATTCTGCATCATGATTAAGTCAGTGTACAATCTATCTAAATCAAAGGTCTATGGAAAAGGTTGAGTTGGCATCTTCTTGTCTCAAAGCTGATGGAGTGGAACACCTTACAACATTTTAAAAATAATAAAATCTTTATACATAGGATGTCTTCACTTCCTTTATTATTCGCTGATGCCTTATTCCCTATCAAATAAATTTTGGTAAAAATCCCTAAGCAGCCATATCATTATTTTACAAGTAACTTATCGATATTATTTACTTTACTGAAGGGGGGGAGGGAGAAAGTTCAGTTCCCTTAATGCATGCAACAAGGAAGTCACCATTTTGTTGCAGTGTAGACATATCCAGTAGCTATGCTCATAACTAATATGAAATACTGTAATATACACAGGCTAGTTATTATAGAGATTAAATAGCAGACTACTACAAATGAACTCATAAGCGCTGACCCTGAAATCTGCTTTTCTGAGAACTTCTTCAGTGGTTACTGCAAACTCATCGTCATTGGCAATTTTTGTTGCAGCTGGTTTTGTAAGATCAAGATCCTGCATGAAGAAATGAAATGCAAAGATCAGAAAACTTATATCTTAAAATAAAACAATAGAAGAAGATTTATTTAAAAAATGGAAATTGTTAGCCATCTGCCACAGTCTCATGCCTGATCATTGCTAGCTTTAAATAATGTGTTTTCTCATGCATATAGATAAGTTTTCAGTGATTTCTACGATTTAGCAAAAGCTTTCCTATTCCCATTGTGTAGAAGATATTACACAACCCATTTGATGTATTTTAAAACAATTTTTAATATTATAATGAACAAAGACAAGTTTTAGCAACTCCAAAACAAACAAAACAGAATGCACAGTAGTATATCAAAAGTATAAATATAAATTTATTACATATATTGTAAAATAACATTTCAAAATATAAAAAACTAGTTAAAGACTTTAAGTATTTAACATGTGAGATCAAATGTATGTGAAATTGATTTACTAGAGTTCATTAAACATCGTAGATCTCTATTAGAAAAATCCAAAATTAAGATTCAGATGAGAAGAAAGAGAGTGAGGAATTTATAAATGATTCAGTGCAAAACCAACCAATTGTTACAATTTTTACCGGTCTGATATGTTTTTTCTAACATATTTTCAGGGTCAACTCACAACTGTACCAAATCCATGATTCAATTCACCAGTTCGTTGGTCCAACCAACTAGTTTGATCCAATTTTCTAAACTATGCCCTTAAAAAACATAAAATCATTCTCTATAAAGATTACATAGCTTTTCAAGAAAAAAAATTAAAGTAAAAACAAGTTATTTTTCTAAATGATTCCTTTCTCTTTAATGATCCAACATATAAATTTTTTTCAGAAAAAAAAAATCAAAATGTCCCATTATTTTTGATATATCACCATGTCAAAAATAAATTCCAAGAGAAATTTACATTATGTTAGACATCAGGGAAAGTAGGCTGGGCAAAATATAAACAATAAGTTCCCACTTGGACATATGGTGAATTATACATATCAAGTCAGGCCAAAAATAAACTATATAATGCACATAACAAATACAAAGGCACAAAAAGACATTGAAATCTTGAATCAATGTAAATTAAGGCAGCAATACATACCTTAATATTATATGTTGAAGCTCGCCCAAAACTCATATCATATCGAAAAGAATAACCATCTTCATCTATTTCCTCAGAATCATATTCAAAGTATTTGGCTGCCTTCTCCAGTTTTCCATCCATTCCATCAGTTAATGTGTCAAAACCTTCACCCAGATCATTCAACATCTCAGTTCTAGAACTTGACTTACTACGACCCCCACCCAGATCATCAAGCTTTTGGAAAAGAGCATCAACTTTGGAATTGCTGCTAGGATTATTGCCAAATATCCGACGCCCAAATTCCTCAGCAGACTCAGCAGAATTATTAGTCTGCTGGTCATTAGGTCCATTTCCTGCTGAAACATTCAACAAGTTCGAAAGGATTGATGAACAAGTATTAGAAAGAAAGAAAAAACAAGCATTGAAAAATCCTAGTTCCAGGAAAGTTAAGGAATGTGATCTTGATTACTTGTTGAAGTAGAGGAAAGCTTGCTTCTGATCAGACTATCAGGAGTCAAAATAAGGGGGGATTCCAAATCTAAACAGATTCATTTATTGTAGTGAAAACCTTTTTTTTTTGGGTAAATCATTGACATAATCGAAGAAAATCAGAAGGATAATGAACAAAAGCTGACAGACAAAGAACCGCAGAAAGCAAAAGATGTGAAGTAATTTTAAGTACCCATATTTGACCATATTGAGAGACATCTGGAAATATTAGTCTGATGTAATTGGCGCGACAAACAGCCATTTAACGATCTAGCTGCAACTCTAAAAATCGCCATTTCTTTCTGCTGCAATCAAGCATTTGGAGCTGTTAGTTTACGAGCTCTAACGATGAATTCGGCACCAGCATGAAACCCAACGAGTAACAAAAATTTTACAAAGAGATAAAAGATTCAGAGTTTCCCATAGATTGGGCCTGTGAGGTAAAATATTTAACAAAAATTAACTATTAAACTGAGAATTCCTGCACAGAACTACTTAAAGGGTTTGAGATGAACCTAATCTAATACGACATGTACCAATGAGGTAAGACACTATGCTCAACTCAAAGCCACGCTGGCTAAAAAAATGAAACACTATGCTTAAGCCGATATGGGCCCAGTGCGAAAGGCACCAAATTAAACACAATTTTCATCTTGAAAAACAGTAACAGGACAGAGGAGCACCTCAAGATAGGAGACACAATGGAGAGAACAGCAGCAAAGTTCCGAGGGCTCGATGAGAGCTTGAGAGGAAGAGCTAGTCACGGTGCCGAGTGCTAGCACGGAGGAGATGGTGAGATTCGATCACCGAGCACTTAGGACGGCAGGAGATCTGAAGGTTCAGGTTCTTGTTCGAGTCTGAGAATGCAATGCAAGGAAAAGCCGAGGAGAGGAGGAGGGCGAAGATCAAAGAGGATAATGCCAAAACCAAAAGTAAAAACCTAACCGCGTCGAAGTCATTTTACAACTTACTCATTTAGTTTCAAATATAAAGAGAATTTGAACACATTCACATGCTATAGGTTAAGAAAATTAACTAATTCTAGTAACTTTATGTCTTAAAATAATACACACACACACTAAAATATTCCAGTAATTAATATTTACTTGTTTTTAATTTAATAATATTATTCATTTATGAAGGATTTTTAGAAAAAATATAATTTTTATGTTGTTTGAAAAAAATATAATTAATATTTTTTTAGAATTTTTTGTTTTGTTTATAATAAAAAACAATGAAATATGTTATAGTTTATTTTTTAATTTAAAAAATAGACTGAGTGCAATTTAAAAATATAGCTTGAATTGAATTAAATAATATTAAAATATGGTGTAATGTAAAGATATATTTTAAAAAATTATAAACAATCCTATATATATATATATATATATAAAGCTTCTAAATAATTCTAAATTAGTTTGGGTCTTACCAATTTACTAAATAGGCTAATCTAATGATGCCAAGCTAAATAGCAAGCATTATTCCAGCTATATAAAAGATAAATTCTTGAATGCATTGAGAGCGCCACATTATTTGTTATCTTTTTAATTAGAATGTCTGAAATTGTCCATTTTAATCGTAATCAAAACAGTTGCTTGATTATATTTTATTTATTTTTGAAGCATAATTCTCGATATTTTTATAAATTTGATTAAAATAACTACTAGACATAGGATTAAAATTAAGTGACTTAGAGTATTGTAATTGAATATACCACAAATAATACATCTTTTCAGGTGCATACAAGAATTTCACTATATGAAATTAGCAGTGAGTGGCATCTTCTAAAAATAAAATGAGTTTTCCTTAATCTATCATGTATTGCGATATTAGTTTTTATTTTGGTGGCTAGATTATGCATAATTCCTTGAAGTTGGTTTATGTGTTAATAACCTCTCTAGTCTCTTGAAAAGTTTACACTAAACTCCAAAGTCTACACTTTTATATTTATACTTATACACTGTAGCTTATTATTTTATGAGGGTCATGTGTAAAAAAAAAAGGTTAATTTTAAAGGGATATGTGATCATTAACATACTGTATTCCGTTAATAAAAATAATGACATAATTGGGAAAAAGTTAAGGTATAGTATATACATAAATGGGAAAGTTTAAGAGGTTATACACCTATTTATCAAGTTTTAAAGGTTGAAATAATTATTTGCATTCAAGATATAGTAGCTTAGAACAGTTTTCTATGATTCATTATGGGCTCGGTCAGGTGCGGAACTAGGATCATTAAAACGGGCTCGGAGCCCAATTAAGCCCACGTTTGGTGTGATCGGAGATTGAGACAGAGTAATAAAGCAGCAGCTTTTAACGTATTAAGGATGCTTTTAAAATCCGTTCTGTATTACAGCACATTGGCACATGGACAATTGGTACTACATGCGTTTGGTTTTCATTTTATTAAAAGTTCATTTTAAAAAAATTAATTTATTAAAATTTAATTATTATAATAAAATTTATGTTTGAATATAATTTTTTAAACTTGATAAATCAAAAATTATTTGAATTAATGATTATTTATACTTTTGAATATATAACAACACAAAAGACATTGATTGATGGTGATATATAATTTTTATTGTATAAATATAATATGTTAAATTTGCATGCTTATTCACATGGCATTTTTTCTTATTTACGTGCTCATAATATCACAGAGCCAAGTAGGTTTAATTTAAATTTAAAATAAAAACTAAAATAATTGAATGTTTGATTTAAATATTAACAATAATAACACAAAACAGTGCACTTTAAAAGAAAAGTTAAACAAAATGACAATCTCTATAACAGGGACACTTGAGCAAGCTTTGATGCGGACTAGAAGCCATGTGTTGTGTTGGAGCTCCTGACCATGGCCTCTTGATATAGTGACACATAAAAAAAAAAAAGAGGCAAAGCAAACCAAAATCAAGAACATAGGCAGAAGGGTAAAGAGGTAAAATAAATAGTTACGTTCCAAATATGAGTTTCAAAAGGCATCAATAGTTACGTTATCTGAAACCATATTCAATCACATTTGACATATACTTTTACGAGGTGCATTCATTTTATAATTTTAATCCAAATAGCTCTTAACTTTTTAAAAATGTCAAAATGTTTTCAAAAAGTTAAACGTAAGGAACTCAAAGAGAGCCTGTATGTTTTCTCCAATATATTTTTTGTCATAGAGAAAATTAATGATTAAATCCCTCCCCTCAACTTATCCACCATTGGTAAAATTCTGTCCATTTTTTCAGTGCTCATTTATAACATGTTCTATTTTTATCCCTGGCACAATAAACATATGATTATATATTTTTGCTCAAGGGCATAAATGACATTCTACGTTGGACCCAAATAAGCCCAAGTGAGTTTTCCCCTCTGTATTCATGGGCCTCGAGCCCCAAGTGATACAACCTATTAAAAAACTTTTTTATAAAAGACATTCACTTCTTTCTTTTTACTATGTCTCGCATTCCATTCTATGTTGGACTCAAATAAGCCCAAATGAGTTCCCCCTTTCTCCATCCATGGGCCTCAAGCCCTAGGTGATATGGATTCGGGTTCGATAACTATAATTAATATAGGCATTAAGTGTCCATATTATTTAAACAATTAAAATTTAAATTAATCATTTTAAATTCATACTCCGCTTAAAATTAATAAATAAATAAATTTATATAATCGTTGATCTATATATCAACGATCCACATAATACAAGCATTCAATACTTATAATAAATACAACCGCCGGATCTAAATTCATCAAGTGATACAAACTATTAAAAATATAAACATAACATACATCATATCTTGTGCTCCATGTGCCCAAATAGTGACAAATCAATAAAAGTGTCTTGTAACATTTACCATGCATCTTTAGTGAAAGGAAGGAGAAAGAAAGCATTGGACCCTCTATTTTTTTTTTTTTTTTTGCCTGCTTTCAACCCAGATTGCTCAGAGAACAAACCAAGGACGCAAAAACAAATATGTACTCTCTCTTTTTGAGCAATAATAATAATAATGGAGGGATCCAAATCTATTAAAGTGACTACCAAATTTTTCTAAAAGCAAAGTCAGTGAAGGGAATGATTGAATTGAATAAACTACGAGACAAGTTGATGGGGGGCAGAGAGACCGTTCAATGGAGAGTAACAGTGGGTTCCATCAGAGGAACAGTGATAGACAAGAAACGAATTTGGACAGGCAAGGCGAAGGCACCGCGCGTCCTGTGTCACTGACTCACAGTGTGGCAGTTGCTCAGTGCCTTTCACTCCGGTAATATTCAAAGCACCTCAAAAGGATATGATAATGAAATCTCTCATAATTAATCCCTCCGACTGCTAACTATCTCACTTCATAGCATGATCTTAATTAGGATCTTCAAATGCGGGTTAACTTAAAGATGATCAAGGACGTTCCACATCAATAAAATTAAACTTAATAATTAATATAAAATAACAAGTAAGGATTCATTAATATAAACCTTGAGATTTTGAATAAAATGCAATGTCATTCTGTCATTTTTTTTTACTCATTTATCCTCTTCTCCCACCTTCATGCGATTGTTCTTTGTTTCTAATAAGTGATGTTAAAAGTTATACCATCAATATTGTAGAAGTAAAAATATTGGCTTTATGGTGAACGGTATTAAAAAAAAAACAATATATGCTTCTTAAAACTTGTAATTTTTTTTATAAATAAAAACAAAGAGAAATATAGCAGTTTCTCTTATATTTGAAAACAAAGTAGTGGCTTATTAATCTTGGTAAGCATCCAGAATTTATTATTTACTGATCTTATCATTATGTGCATATACAGACTGATACTCCCAACAATTGTAAGTGAAATAAATTAAATTAAATTCAGAGGACGAAAAATTACTTGACGAAAGTATTTCAAAATGAAATTAAAAAAAAATATAATAAGGATTGGAAAACAGTAAAACACAGTTCGATTTTTTTCTTTTTGACGAACCAAAAGAAGCTGAGTCTTGAGAATCTGGGTGCACTCAAAAAGGAGATCCCAACATAACGTATGGATATGAGCTAGCAAAGTGGGCTGAAACATGCGATTAAACAGTTAAAAGGGGCCACGAAAAAGCTGAACATGTTCTCTTAATTGAATAATATCTTTTCTCCATTTCTTTTATTTAAAAATGATCGTTCAGAGTTTTTTTTTTTTTTGAACAAAGATGATCCGTTCAGAGTTTTTTTATTTTTTTTGAACAAAGATGATCCGTTCAGAGTTGAAGGCTTGTAAGTTCAAGACACTTTAATAGGTCATTTCTCTCTCCTTTTTTCTCTGTTTAAATAAACGAAAGAAGATGATTAAGAAATAATCCTTTGGAATAAGTGTTTTGAGCAAACTTAGTTAATACATCAGCATGATAGATTAAGCCTCTAGACATATAATGATGTTTACAAACCAATTTCCTCCAAGAATCTTTTCTCCAACTCTATCACACACACATCGAATTGAATAATTTTTTGTTCTCCACATTGCTACACCACCATGAAAAAGCCTTTCGATCACATCAAAGAAAATGGAGTCACGTCAAATTCATATCAAACCGCAAAAATACCTATCTTATCGTT